AAACCATGAGCTTTTTTACTCCCCCCAGTAACTTGCTGTGCATCCAAAAGTTGGGCAGTGACTAAGGATGACAGAAGAAGAATCAATGTCTTTAAGTTGTAACATGCTTGGAAAAGTGGTGAATCAGTGAAGGAAAAAAAGTCCCTCAGTGAGGTGGACTGACACAACGAGTAACAATGGGCTCAACTATATCAGATGATGAGGACTGGGCAGGGTTCAAATCCATTGTCACTGGGCAGTACCAGATAATAATAACATGATATTAATGAGGTCAGATTAGAGGCAGTTATGTAATGATATAATCATCCCCATGTGGTTAACCAATCAGTTGTAAAAGGATTAGGGATACAACACCCTTAAGGGAGCTCTGGTGGCCTGATTAGGGAATTGAGCTGCCAACTCAACGGTGAGTGTTTCAAATCTACCAGTTGCTCCAATGGTTGATCTCCTCCCTTGCAAATTACAGCTTCTGAAAACCTGGATGGTCAACTATGAGTAAGTTCTTACTTAATAGAAATGAGTCAAGGAAACAGCCTTAATCAGGTCACAATCCTGATTGCATGAATAAGAAATTTCCCTGGGTGTGTCCTGAAATACCTTTTATCATACAAGGGATGAGAGAGAAGCAGTGGGGGTGAAAGAATGAAGGGGTACGTCTGTACCACTGAGAAAATGCTAGAAGCAGAGCTCATTCTGTGGACTCAGGTTGCTGCACTGGAAACTTCTAGAAGCTTCTCCTCCGCCCAGCACTCTGACTCTAGCTGTGAGAATAAATTTGTTAAAGCCACTCTCTTGTGGCATATCTGTTACAATTTTGCTAGAGAAATGAGGCAGATGTCTCCTCTGTAACTTGCCCCAAGAATGAAACACATTATCCTCTTGTCCTAAATCCTTATTTTGAAAATATATACCATTTTTCATTGTCCGCTAGAGACAATGCCTGTCATGGATTATTTCATAAGATCTTCAGAACCTTCCTAGAAGTGTGATGCTACTTTTTAAAATTTGAGATTAAGGAAGATATGATTCTACTATGTGAGGTGTGCACAAATTCTATGACAAAGGAAAATATGTTGAAAAAGAATCATATCTGAAGTGTTGGCTACAAGTGAATCTCTGACTTCAGTGTGGTCAGCGTAGGAGGCTTGGCTCAGAGCTAGGAATATTTCCCCAAACATTTAAAGTAGTGCCAGAGTGGCATCTACTTCCTAAATAAGATGTCTCTGGAAACTCTAATAACTTTGATAAATGTCGATAGTTGTAGAGGGGCTTCAAGCCTTTTGTTCATAGGATTGCTATGAGTTGTGCTCAGCTCGAAGGCAACTAACAACAACAACCATGGACTTAATCTGTTTTGTGTACAAATCTTCAGGCTGAAGAGTTAAAGACTTGAGTGCATAATGTTCCCAGGTACTCAGTGAAAGAAAGTGCAAGTCCAGGGAGCTCTGATGGCCTAATGGCAAGACCCTGCACTACAATCCCAGAGGAATGTGGTTCAAATCCACCAGATGCTCTGCTGGAGAAGGAGGGGGCAATCTCCTCCTGTACCAGTCAGATCTGATTTGATGGTACACGTAAAAATAATATAATAAAAAATTAATAAAAAGAAAGTGTAAGTCCTCTGGAACAACTAATTTTAAACATAGCCATCAGTGAATTTCTACCAGTTTCAAGGAATGATGGACAAAGGAAGAGAGTATGAGCAAGACCAACCAAAGAGCTGACTGCATTCAAGAGCAGGTCTTTTACACTGTGTAGAGACAAGAGGCTGAAAGTAGGAGGAATAAAATTATCTTAAGATTTGTAGACTATAAGAAACCCAAATAAGACAGATAAACATTAAAAAATATCATTTAAATAAAACCCTGAAGAATGAATTAAATAGGTTTCTCACAGCTGAAAATAAATTGAGAAATCAAAGAAGTTACACAAAATGTAAGGCAGAAACAGATTATGAAAGGTTAAATTAGTGGATTTTAGGATAAGATGGGTCAATTTACATCTAACTGGAATCCCATGTGATAATTGGTAAACCAAAGCAAACCTGTTGTGTACCTTCAAGTCAGAACTGACACAAAGCTGATCCTCCAGCAGGTTTTTAGACAGTGTGAGAAGATTATTTCCTGCGGAGCAGCTGGTGGATTTGAACTGCATTCATTTGGGATTGCAGCAGGGCTCCTTACCACCAGGCCATCAAAGCTTCCTAAAGCAAACCTACAATTCTGACTCACAGCAACCTAAAGCATAGTCCTAAATTCTGACTCACAGTGACCCTGAAGGGCAGAGAATTGCTTCACAGGGTTTCTGAGATTGTACTCTTTACAGATGTAAACTGCCTCATTCCCCAACGATCAGGAGTTGTGTTAGTGTGGGGTCAGTGCCTTAGTTTGTCCTCCTCACTTGGCTAAAAAATTAAGTCAGGAGAAACTAGAGAAGGGAACTGTGCTCAAGCTATCAAGGTATTTCAGTGGCCTTTGGGAGAGCCAGCTTTACTGCACAGTGTGAGAGCATTTTAGAATGGCCATTGCTGGTATTTGCTCAGAAAAATCCCAAGACTTTCTTAAAGTGCTGGGCTGAAAGTGTAGGCCAAGGCATTGTTGGAGCGTGGAGCTGAGAGAAGTGAAGGAAAAAAAGTAAAGATAGATTTATCAAGATAGGTATATCCCTGGAAAGGAAGTAATGGAGAGGCTGGGTGCCACTGAGGTGAGGTCATAGTTATGATTTATTTCCTCACCTAGGTTTTCAGTGAGTGAGGTTGTGTCATCCGCTTAACACAGGCTACTGTCTTCCTTCTATATTAATGCCATATTTTTCATAGAGTTAAGTATCTTGAATGATTTTCAGCATACCAATTTAATAGGTATGGAGACAGGATACACCCCTGATGCATGTTTCCTGATTTTAAACCTTGCAGTGTTCCTTTGCTCTGTTTGGAGAACTGCTTCTTGGTCTAGGTATAAGTTTTATGTAAGCACTTCCCATTCTTCCCAATGTTAGCCATAGTTTGTGTCCACACCTTGCCTCCTGAAAGTGAGGAAGACTTAAAATGCTTGTTGTAGAAGATCAAAGACTATAGTCTTCAATATGGATTGCTTCTCAACATCAAGAAGACAAAATTTCTCACTTATAAATAACTTGGACTTATAAATAACATCATGATGAAAAAAAGATTGGAATTGTCAACAATTTCATCTATTTGAATCCATAGTCAATACCCTTGGTACCAGCAGTCAGGAAACATAAGGTACTTGGAAAATCTGCTGTCAGAGACCTCTCCATATTACTAAGGAGCAGTGATGTCGATTTGAAGAATATGATACACCTGATTTAGGCCATACTATTTTCTTTTCTTTCTTTCTTTTTTTTTTAGGCCACACTATTTTCAGTCAGTTGCTTGGCATCTGAGAGTTGGACAATTAATAAGCATGACAAAAGAATAATTGATGCTTTTAAGTTGTGATGTTAGAAAAAAGGATTGAGTATCCCACGGACTGCCAAAAAAGCAAATATACTTATCAGGGGAAAGTGCAGCCAGAATGCTTTTTTGAAGAAAGGATGGTGAAGCTTCATCTCAAATAATTTGAGCATGTTGCTAGAAGAGGTTATTCCTCTGGAAGGGACATCGTATTTGGATAGATGGAGTGTAAGCAAAGAACCCCAATAAAATTGACACTCTGACTGCAGCAATGGGCTTAAGCATGTCAGAGATGATGAGGATGACTCAGAATAGGACAGGGTTCAGATCTGTTTGTAGGGTCACTATGAGTCATACTCGAATTCATTCCACTTAACAATAACATCTGGGCTTGCTTTGGGGTTGGAGGCCGTGCTAATGAGAGTTCAAAGTTTAGTGAGTGGTTCTTATTTTGGTTCACTGTTCTGACATCACTCATGTTCCTAAAATAGTAATTCCATATACATCAGAAAGTTGATGTGTTTGAACCTCCACTGCTGGATTATCAGGTTTATCCACTGCAATACCAGGGCTCCTTAGTGACACCATTTGAAAAGATCTTAATACATGTTTGGAAATATGCACTGTTGAATTAATCTTGACCCTATGTGGCCTCATGTATGTAGTCAAATTACTCTATAGTGACCTTTCAGAAGCAGACTGCCTGGCCTTTCTTCAGAAGTCCTTCTGGTTGAGTTTGAGCTAGTAACTTTTGGTTGGCAGCCCAGTATTTAATCTTTTGAACCAGCTAGGAATCCTGATGGGAGCTTTGTGGCATAGTGGCAAGAAGTTACACTGCAATCACGAAGGCACACAGTTCAAATCCACCAGCTGCTCAGTGGGAAAATGATGGGCAATCTTCTGTGTGATTAATTTTCTGTGAAAACCCGCCAAAGGGTCAACTATGGGTCAGTTCCAGTTCAACGGTACACAAAAACAACAAGGATCCTGTAGTACTGTGCAGTGAAACAATAGAAGCTAATCAAAGGATCCTTAACAAGTTCAACATTAATGGTCACCCCTGGAGGGGAGGCAGCATTGAGGCTTTGAAGATATTATTATTCCTTTTCTTAAACAACACTAAGTGGATACAAAGATTTTTTTCTTTACACAATCGCTCATATACACTTTTGGGATACATAATAGCCACTATTTTCAAACTGGCCGGTAATGGAACTGGCTAGTAGCCGTCATAGTTAAATCTCTTCTTCAGCTCAAGGAAAGTGGCCGGAAATGCTCCTGGCCCATCTCAGCTGAGCTTCCGGCGCGGAGAGTTTCCTCAACGTCACTGAGCGTGCGACCCCTAGCGGCACGGCACCCTGGGGCTCCACCATCCGCTACCCAGCAGGCGGGACTTCCGGGGGCGGGACTTCTGGCGAGTGACTGACGGGCGCAGCATCAGCAGCAGCGGCGGCGGCAGAGCCTGAGGCGACAGCATCTGCGGCGGCGGTGACTGTGGCTGTGGCCTGCGGTCCCACGGAGGCAGGCGGCAGGCCGAGTGCCGGCCCGACAGCGGGCCACGCTGGCGGCAGCGATGGCGGCGCTGATGGAGATACAGATGGACGAAGGCGGCGGCGTAGTGGTGTACCAGGATGACTATTGCTCGGGCTCGGTGATGTCGGAGCGCGTGTCGGGCCTGGCGGGTTCCATCTACCGCGAGTTCGAGCGCCTTATCCATTGCTACGATGAGGAGGTGGTCAAGGAGCTGATGCCGCTCGTGGTGAACGTGCTGGAGAACCTAGACTCGGTGCTCAGCGAGAACCAGGAGCACGAGGTGGAGTTGGAGCTGCTGCGCGAGGACAACGAGCAGCTGCTCACCCAGTACGAGCGTGAGAAGGCGCTGCGCAAGCAGGCCGAGGAGGTGCGTGGGGCGCGCGCTGAACCCCGCCCGAGACACCCCGCTCCACCCCGCCCTGGAACACCGCCCCGGTTCCCGCCTCTGACCCCGCCCTGACCCCTCCCCGCCGGCCCCCCCAACCACATTAGCTCCCCAGCGCCCCCGCCTGGCGGGCGTAGCCTGGCCTTCACCCTCCCTGTGGCCTCCCCACCCAGTTACCAGACCCCTGTCCCCAGTGGCTACTCTCACTTGGTCCCCTGCACTCCTCCACTCCGCGTGCCCATTTCAACCCTTTACCCAGTGCCCTGCCTGCTAGCCCGACCCACTTATCCTCCCATCTCCACCCCATCCCTAGATGTCCGACCATTGACCACAGACTAGAGTCCCCGCCTTCCCATCGCCTCCTAGAACCCCACCTTGCCCCACTTTCCCCCCCTTGCTCCTTCTTGCTGCACCTGCCTGTACCGTTATCTAATCCTTTACGTTTTCCTATTCAGCTTCTAAGTCTTCCCTGATCCCCGTCTCCACCCCCTTGTGCTCCTAAACCCATCTAGCCTCCAGACTCCCATTAAAGTACCCTGTGAGGGCCCTCAGCTTCCCCAGCCCTCCACCCAAACCCTGCTTGCCTACCCCTGGTTGCTTCATCCCTTCTGCCCTCTCAATCCAGCTCAGTCCTCAGGCTCCCATGCAATCCAGAATTGTTCTCTACTTCTTCATCTTATTCTGGTCCCTACTCTGGTCCAGAGATTCCATCTCCATCCCCAGTCACTCCACCCTCCAGCTCCTCTCTGCCCCATCAGAGTCGCTTCCCAGCCCCACCCGTCCTTGCCCAGACTCCAAGACCCCCGTGCCCCCTGACCGGTCAATAGTCTCTCGGTGCCCCGTGGGACTAGAACTCCCTCTTCTGGTCTGGTATTCTCCCTATCTGTAGTCTCCAGCCTGGAGTCCTGACCACATCTTGATTGGTGCAGCTTTGGCTAGCCCTGATCCTGGAGCACAGTAGTCTTCTCCTCTTCTGTCCACTTCTCCTTACAGTCCCCAGTGCAATGCTGTGTGTGTGTATGTGTGTGTGTCTTTTACCAAGCAGATTTCTTAGACCTACATTCCAGAGTCGGCTCACGGTGACTTTCTAGGGGGCTGCAATGAGAAGTGAGTGAGCTGTGAGTGTTAGACCTTGTCCACAATCTCTTACTTTGTTGGGGCATGCAGGAACTAAAGGATTGGTAGAAACGAACACTGCAGTTGGACAACCCTGAACAACATAGGTTCCTGGAGGTGACTTCTTTGCCCTCTGATTCCCTTTGTCAGTTAGATGATGTGGCTTACGTGGAAAGTCTTCTCTGGCTTTGAAGGAATTTGGTCGCATTTTAGGCTATTTCTCTCCATCATCTGGGAATGACTTGCTTGCAAGCCAGTTAGATGGAGGCTCTTTGTTGGTAATATGCTCTAACTTCATTTACCATCAGCACATCCAGCAACAACTACAACTGGGCCCTCGAGCCTTGTCCTTTGCAGAAAACAGAAACTGAGGGAAGGAGATTTGAGTGATGTAGGTTCTCAGCTTTCCCTTGCCATGGATTCTTCCAGTGACACGGACTGTGTCATCAGCTCTGCTTTTTTGTTTTCCATCAGCTCCATGCATGAGCAGCTCCTGGGCTCTGTGGGTCCTAAAATGCTGCTGTTATATGAGGTAGACAGTGATCTGATTTACAAACAGAAAGGGGATTATTTTAACACATTCAGCCTCTTTTCAAGTTATTTGATTCACTCGAATACTGAGAGAGAATATTGTTCTGATGTTTTGGTATATGCTCTCATTTGGCTTAAATTCTTTTTATAAAAATGAACAGTGTGTCCCATCCTACATTCCTGCCAAGGGTAGTTTGTTTGACTTTGAGGGTTCCTACAACTGTCAGGAGACTATTTCCTACTCATTGGATCCCCTGATCCATTGCAAAAGGATCCCTGGTTAAATGCTGTGCTTCTAACTGAAAGGCCAGCAATTTGAAGCCAGCAGCCACTCCCCAGGAACAAGATGGTCAGGCTCCTCAGAAAGAGTCACCACCTCAGAAATCCAACAGAGCGTCACTGCTAGTCTGAATCAAAGTGAACAGTAAATGTAGATCCCCAAAGTGGATATAATGCTCTCAACTTTTGGGAGTGTATACAGAATTCTAGCTCAGAGAAACTGCATGCATTTTTTGAGGAAGACACTGAGCTCTGGAGTAGAGGAACCCACCAAGGTCACGGCCCAGGAGTAGCTGGACCATGATGCTATATAAGCCCTGGGTTAGGGTTTAAAGTGTCACCTGGGGCCTGAAGCTAGGACTCTGCCCTCCACCCCTAGACTGTACTGCTGGCTCCTAATCCTAGTGTTTGGACCACCTTGGACCCATGTAGAGATAGTAGTGAGTGGGAAAGAACCAGAAGGAGAAAAATAAATGGATAGTTAAGGCTGGGACTCAACACTCCCAGCTGTGCATAGAGAGAGTCTTCCACACCCCAGGCTCCCACCCCCTTCTCTGGGCCCCTTGTTCTCAGAAGACACAACCTCCCAGGCTGACCCACCAGCACCCAGCTGTTCACAGTAGGAACCTTGAAGCAAGCTCACTGGTAGCCTGCATCCTGGCCCCAAGGGATGAAGGATGCTGACAGAACATCCTTAGAAAGACCTCAAATGACAGTGCAACTAAGGAAGGGGGAAAGACTTCCACATCCTGTCCATTGATTAGTGCAGGTGGAGCCATGTTCTTAGTGTGGCGGAAGGAGGCTGCTGTGGTCGGCTTACACAAGGGTGAGTGCACATGCCCTGGTGGAACTGTGATTAAAACACTCAGTTTCTGATGGAAAGGTCATCCCTTCAAACCTACCATCCCTTCCATTGGAGGTAAGATTAGGTAAAGATTTACAGATTCAGAAATCTTATGGGCCAGCTCTACTTTGTCCCACAGGATGGTCACATGTTGTAATAGACCCTCTAGTTGATAGATTTGGTTTTGGTTAAGAACTCTAGTGGCACAGTGGTTAAACACTTGAGCTATTTACTAGGAGGACAGTCATTTGAACCCACCAGTGCCTCATGGGAGAGAGCTGAGGGAATCGGTGTCCTTATAGATTCACAGCCTTAGGAAACCCCCTTGGGCAGTGGCACTGTGTCCTGCAGTCACTGAGCTGGTATCAACTCAGCAGCAGTGGCCTTGGCTTTTGACTCTGCTCCCCTACATGAAGAAAGGGAGCCCTGATGACCCTGTGGGTTAAGTGCTTACCTGCTAAACAAAAGCTCAGTGTTTTAAACTCAATCAGCAGGAGAAAAACGGGGCAGTCTGCTTCCATAAAGATGTACAACCCTGGAAACCCTCTGGGGCAGTTCTGCTTTACCCCTCAGAGTAGTTCTGAGTGGAAATCAACTCAGGGGCAGTGGGTGGGTAGGTGGACATCTGAAGATATTGAAGCTGGGATGCAGGCGTGTCTGCAGTACAAACTGCCCCTGCTTCAAAAGGCTTCATCAGAGGGTAATGTGAGCCGCCTGCAGCATCCCAGCCAAAGCTCTGAGCAGAACAAACGTCCTCTCCCCTCCTCCTCTCCCCTTAGCACCAGAGGACCAAATCTGTCAGAACTCCCTGTGGCTGGTTGGCTGGGTTGATATGTATGGAACTGACAGGGGACAAGGAGAGGGCCCAGGCCCCCAGTCTTTGAGTGGCAGATTGGGCATCAGCCCAGTCCCCTCGAGCTGCTCAGCCTCTTGATAGCAAGTTGGGTGCCGGGGGACAAAACACTCACTGTCATCCCTGATGACTGGACAGTCAGTGGAGCCCCGGCTTCTTGTTTCACTTCATTCCTTCCTCCTCTCCTCTCCAATCTTCTGGGTTTTATCTTTTGACAAATGCTGCCCTTAAGATCCTGTGTGGTTGAGTCTCTAAGTGCTGCGAATCTCCCTGGTATTATAGTTTACCTTATAGATCTGTTTTTGGGCTGCAAGCTGCATCATAAGGATGATTTCAGCTCCAGGTTCAAAGAGCAGCCATGGGCTTGGGGATCCTATCAGTCTCCAGCAGACCAGTAAGCCTGGCCATTGCTGTGATGTTGAGGTTTGTTCTACATTCATCTCCCACCTTATCTCAGTCAACAGTGATAGGTGGGCACCATCTAGTTCTTCTGTTCATCTTCATTTGCTTAAATCTTAATGGCCTCATGTGACCAGGGCTGCCATTCTAGGCAATGCAGCATCAGACAGACTAGCTCTGTGGTGTTCAACAGAGCTGCAGGCTCATGTTTCTAGTTTGCTTACCTTTAAGCAAGAGATGCTCAGTAGCTGTTATTGTTTTTACTGAACGTGTTTTAGAGAGAGAGGCGATCTTAAAGCAGCAAAGGTCTGGATAAGGTGACTGGACAAATGTAAAGAAAAAGAATTATTACAATCTTACTTTTAAAAAAATAACACAAAACAACACACCATAATTTGAGTGAACATTTACAGAGCGGATTGGTTTAACAGTTCATGCACATTTTCATTCATGATGCAGAACCTCATAATGTGGAGTACTCTTCTCAGTTCTCCTGTGTGTTTCTCATTTTCATCCCTCCTTTCCTTTCCTTTCTTGCCTCTTGAGTTTTCTCCTTGAACCATTGTTTCCCCTTTGATCTCGCATGGTGGATTGCTGTAAGTGTTATTGATCATTTCATAAGCCTGACTTCTGTTTGCTTGGGAGTTGAGCCACAGGGGTGAGTTCAGCTCCAGGGATGGAAGGGCAGAAAGAAAGTGTGAGATGAAAAAGTGAGTACCAGTTGTTTGGGAACCAGAGCAGGGGTGATGAAACTCCCAGGAGGCTGAGAATTGGTGTGATGTGGAAAGCGTGGTGCACAAAACAGTCTGACGTTGAAGACATAGGATTACATATTTACTCTGGATTTTGTTGATTTTATATATTTGGTTATAGCTGTATCAAGCTGTTACTGATACATGTATTTAAAGGGTGCCATTTGATAAACTTTGACAATGTATGTCAGATAAAAGCCGTCACCCG